AGAAGAAGAAGAAGAAGAAGAAGAAGAAGGAGAAGAAGAAGAAGAAGAAGAAGAAGGAGAAGGAGGAGAAGGAGAAGGAGAAGGAGAAGGAGGAGGAGAAGTTTAAGGTTTATAAAGCTCTTTACATGTATTATCTCATTTGATCCTTACAGTCAACCATTTTACAGATGAGGAAACTGAGGATGAGAGAGATTGACCTGTCTGGGGTCACATAGCTACTAAGTGTCTGAGACCCACTTTTGCCCTTGCTTCTAGGCTGGTAAAACAGAGTTTTCTATTTTTGGTTAAAGACATCAGGGATGAAATGCAAATTAGTCCAACTGCCAGGATAATCCTAATAGAAACTTGTGTATGAAAGTCTCTCTTGAAAGCCTGGAGGGGTGGATGCTTTCTTAAAGAAATGTCCCTGTGGCTAATCTTGTTCTGCATTTCCTTGTTCCTTCAATCCACTTTTACTGGCAGGAATAATAAAAATAATAATTTATACTGTGCTTCAAAGTCTACAAAGTGCTGTCCAAATATTATCTCATTCGATCCTCACTACCACCCTGTGAGGTAGGTTCTATTACTATCCTCATTTTACAGAAGAGAGGACTGAGGCTTGCCCAGGGTCACACAGCTAGTAAACATCTGGATTTGAACTGACGTCTTCCTGGCTCTATCCACTGTGCAACCACAGGCAAATGAACTTTCTCTTTAAAACTAAGGTGCTGCTTCTTCCTTAAAGGGTGCAGTGGATAGAGCACAAGGCCAGGACTCAGGAAAGCCTGAGTCCAACTCTGGGCTCAGACATTTACCAGCTATGTGACCATGGACAAATCACAACTTCTCAGCCTCAGTTTCCTCATCTGTAAAAGAGAGATAACAATAGCCCCTATCTCCCACAGGATGTTATGAGGATCAAATGAGGTATGTGTAAAGCTCTTAGAAATGCCGGCTCTTATTACTATGAAGCCTACAAAGATTCCTTAGCCTTTAGCATGCTCTTTCTCACCTAGTCTCATAGCATTTCATCTTCTTTTTTCTTCCCCCCAGAATCACCTTCTAATTTATATAGTATGTACTTTTACGCATTTTATCTGCCTTTCCTGATCTGTAAGCACAATCTTAAGAGCTGGACAGGCCCTTAGAATCTGTGTGTTCCAATTTACCCAGAATACCCTGTATAAGAAGGCAAAAGGACCTCTGGCCTTATTGGAAGGCCCCTGGTCAGATGAAACCCCTTTGTCTCCTAAAGCATCAGATTGCACTTTAGGACAGTCTCAACTGTTTAAGAATTCTTTACTTACACAGGGCCAGCATATGCCTCTCACTCTTAAGTCTGTCCCCTGGGGCCAACCAAGATGAATCTAATCACTCTTCCCAGTGGAAGCACTCCAAATATTTGATAACAGCTGTTATGTCCCCCTAGAGCCTTTTCTTCTTGACTCTAAATCTCTCTAGTTCCTTCAGAAAGTCCTCATGTGGCAGAGGCCCTAGTCCCCTCACTGTCCTAGTCTCTCTTCTCTAGACACTCTCTGGCTTACCGATAGCTTTCCTAAAATGTGATGCCAAGAACTGAACGTGGTATTTCAAATGTGGTCTGACCAGGCAGAGTGGTAGGGGACTCTCATTTCCCTTATCCTGAGTGTTCTGTCTCTCAAGTGGGCCTATGGAAGCGGTAGTTTTGTTTTGTTTTTGTTTCTATGTCAATAGGAGTCAAAATATTGAATCAACAATATGACTCAATTGTGGTTTACTAAAAATCCCAGATATTTGACATAGGTGCCATCTTGTATTTGTGAAGTTGACTTTTTGGACCCAAGGAGGAGACTTGACATTTATCTCTATTTGATTTGAGGATAGCTCCATGGAGGGGAATATCTCTACCTTTCTGCAACTTCTGCCCATTATAGTGTGTGATTAAAGAGAAAGAGAGAGCAAGTGCTAGAGAAGCCCAGTGACAGCAGCAAGAGAAGGTCATTAGGGGGTCTGGTGTGGCCACCTTTTGAACTCAAGGAGCTAAGTGGGTTTAAAGGCTGGGAATGTCCAAGAAGCTTGAGGCCGCTTGGGAAGTGGTTCAGGGTACAGGGAGGATTTAGAGGGTAAGGAAAAGCAAAAGTATTGGGGCCAAGAAGGAACTAGAACCTTCTAGAAGGTTCTTGACTAGCTAGGCCCAATGTCAGATCGTAGAATTGCAAACAAAGAACTTGAAGGGACTTTTAACAGTCAACCTCTTATTTTTCTTACGAATGAAAAAAAAAATGAAGCCCAAAGAGATTAACACACTTACCCAAGATTACACAGAAAAGACTGGAGAGGCCATCTGGTCCAATCCTTCATTTTACAGATGAGGAAACTGAGGCCCACAGAAGTTGACTTGCCCAAGGATACACAGGTATTAAGTAGCAGAGCTGGGATTTTGGCCGGTGCCCTCTGATTCCATATCCAGAGCTCTTCTCCATGGATCTCCCCATCTCTGATCTCCCTCAACACTGGTCACTTATTACACTCAATCCAGCCCTTGATTCTATCTTGACCTTATCCAATTGTTTCATGAGCATATCTTTTCTTTCCATTAAGTTAACTCATTAAAATTTCTTAAGTTCCTATTATGTGCCAGTACTAAGATAAGCTCTTTGAGGGCAGGGATGCAGCTCAGACTTCTGTCTCTCCTATGGAATCCAGATGAGGGCTGGATACATGCAAGTGGTCTGTAAAAATATACTCTGGAGTAGTTACTTTGTGCACCTTTTAAACACTTGGCATTCTAACCTGGAGACCCAGTTCCACCTATAACCCAAAAACTGCTCCAGGAGGCAAGGGTCCCCTTAGTTCTTAGTGGGGGGGATCCTTTTGATTTCCCCAAATTCTAATGGGAGGAGGCTGGGGATGGGGAGTGTAAGGTACTGGAACTGGGACTGTCCACTTGGGGGTCCATGCCTTTGGTGAATCTGTTCTTCAAAACCCAGCATCCCAGTCTCTCCTCTACAAGCCCTGGTACTCTGCATCCTCATACATGATGGGCTCAGAAGAGGTGAGACCAAAGGTTTTAGGCTCCCAGCCTCCCCTCCCTCTAAGCTCTGAGCCCCCTAACCCTTTATATGGAGATGAATGGGGAAATGAGGTGAGGATGGGGGAAGGTCTTGGATCTCAGGCTTCCATTCATGGACTGAAGGATGGAGGAAGAGAAGGAATGAGAGAGGGTGGGCGAGCAAAAGCAAATGAGAGTCAGGATTATTCTTAGCTTTTTTATTAACTCCTTCTAGGAGGGAGAGCATGCCCTTTTCTTAAAACTTCCTGCTTCAAGTTTTTGCTCCTTTCTCCAATTTTCTGGTCCAAAGCCTTCTGCAGATTCAGGTCTAAGGCATTCTTCTGATGCCACCGCCCTGAGGAAGAATGAAAATGAGAAGACCTTATTTACAGCTGCTGGAAACAGTGTGGCATCCTGAGCTAGACGGGCCATATCCCCAACCTGTCCACCGGACCCATGGGGCTAGGTTGCTCTCTTGGGGCGCTTCAGGATTCTGGGTCATGGATTTCCTCCTGGGTCTTAGTTCCAAAGATCTTCTGCCCAAGAGGGTGAGGAAAATCAGAGAATTTAGAGCTAGATATGGGTATTACTATTTGTAAGATTATAGGTATGCTGGTTATCAAGTCAAGCCCTGCCCCTTCATCTTACAGATGAGGAGACTGAGGCTGAGAGGTCAAAAGCCTTACCCAAGGTCACACAGGTGACAAGGATCTGGAAGGAACCTCTGGTTCAACCCTTTTATTTTGCAGACTAGGAAACTGAGACCCAGGCAGCTAACATGATTGAGGTCATGCAGATAACATATAGCAGACCAGGGGCTCAAAACCAAGTCATTGGACTCGAAATCCAGTGGTCTTTCTATTAGACCAAACTGTTTTTAATTCATTTGTTACAATCACTCTTAGGAACAACGTCAGTGGGTCCTGCATTCCCTGCATACTAGCTAGCTAATCTACCCCTCTTTGTCTTTTTCTTTTTAATTTTAGAAGAGGACAGAACAATTTCTTCCCTTTGTCTCCTTTCACCTCCAACCCCAGCCTCAATATTTTTCCCCATTGTCAAACTTACCAAGGTCATCTGTCTTCCTCCCATACCAATGCTGGGGGTCCCTCACAGCTCTCTCAATCACATCCGCAGTGTAGGAGTCCTTCATTAAGCTCTTTATCTCCATGGGGGGCCCTGTCAAAACCCCTGGGAAGGTTGGGAGTCACCAAAATGAAAGTATAGTCAATGGGGAGAAGAGGAAGGAGGGAAGGGAAGATGGGACATCAGCGGATGTCAGAGCCTTTAGAGAGGGACCCAGCACCAAGGGTCTTGAATCCACCCTAAATTCAGAGAGGCTGTCTTAGGAAAAAACGGGACTTGCCTATATGAGATCATGGTCCCAGTACCAGCTCTGCCCCTAAGAGCTTAGCTGAGAGACCTTGGAATATCCCATCTCTAGGCAACCACATAAGCCAACACTATGCCCAATGTAAGCTACCCCTTCATCACCCCAGTTTTTGGGCACTTCCACCTGTCAAGAATGTCTTCTTTTCTTTCAAAGTCACATTCAGGTGCCACTTTCTCTAGGAAGCCTTCCTTGATCCTGCCCCACCTCAGCTGAAAACAGGTAACTCCTTCCTGAAATTCCCCCAAATCTCTTCATCTAGATCTCTCCTTTACTGCCCAATTCCCTCCTTCAACACCTTGTGTCAAAGTGATTTCATAGGCTCCTAGCATTTAAGAGATCAAAGCGGACTTCAGTACCAAGTCTGACCTGCTCATTTTATAGGGAGGGAAACTGAGGCCCATAAAGGGGAGGGAGTTATGTATATCTCGTAGTAAAAAGTATGATCCTTGGAAATGTAGCCTTTCCACCAAGCACAACACCTTGTAAATAGTCAGCTCTTAATTTTTGTTGAAATACAGTTAAAATGAATCTTCTAGGATGACCATGTCTTTATTAAGTGGATGGGAGCCAGAAAACTGAGTTTCTATCCCTGGTTTTTCCACTTACTAGCTGTATGTATTTCAGAAAGTTTGCTTTTTTGAGCCTCAGTTTCCATCTCTGGATGGAGTGAAAAGCCAGGGACCACACGTCCCACACTGCCTGGAGTTGGCATTACTCACTGGAGAAGAGAATTCTTGGTGGACCTGTCTCCCAGAAGGCTGTGTCAGATCAGGTCCACAGTGCAGTGAGGGCATACTTTGGGTAGGCATTCTTCCTGAGAATTCAGTTTTCAAAGAACATGGGAGAACTGCAGGAGTGGTAAGAAAGGCCCTTGGGATGGCAGGTGGGCCCAGGTATAGCCTGGAGACTGAGGAGGGCAGGAATGAAATAGCAACCACATGCTGACCAAGCTGAGTGTGTAGATGCATGAGCCGGGCTGATGAGGCGCAGAAAGAGAGATACCAGCAATGGCTTGAGGGGCGGGTTCCCAAGAAGACAATGTTCATTCCTGGAAGCGTCTAAGCTGAGATTGCCTGCTAATGCAACTAAGATCCCACTGTGAATTTAAGTGAACTCTCCCTTTCTCCTGCTGTGTTGGGGATGAGGGATACAAGGCATCCAGGAATGAATACTAAGAACGCTTGATCCGTAATTTACTTCATGGTTTTTACTAGGCTATCTATTTAATCTGTCTATCTAACTATCTATTCATCTGTCCACCCACCTATCTATCTGTCTGTCTATCTATCTACCTCTCCATCTGTCTTTCTATCCATCCATCCATCTATCTATCCATCCATCCATTTACAAATATTTACAACATAATTATATATTATATATTTAGAATATATTTGTATATTTACATATTTCTATATAAATATATGTATGTGCTTACATATAAATATATTTCTGTGACATTTATATATGCATATACGCTTCTCCCCCTCAAATTCTTGTGTCTTCTGACATGATCTGACAGAGATTCTTAGGATAGAGGCTTGGAACAGTGGATTTGATATATGAGAGACTTTGTGTGGCTGAAAAAGTCTTTGTGTGGCTGAAAATTTTGTGGGACAAGTCCAGGATTGGTTTTTATTTTCTGTGGATTTTTTTTAAAAATTCAGGCCATTTAAATTACTGAGTAAACCTAAAGCCACTTGTCTAGGGAAGGAATTCACTAAAAACGGTTTTTCTTCCTTTTCTAGTCTGTAGAGCAACAAAGTTTCCCAGTGAAATTCTCACAGGCCAGAGAGGTAATTTACAATTCCCATATTTCTATGGTGTGTCAAAGTGTCATTGAAGCATTGCTGTTTATGTTGGAAGCGACATTCTGAAACTTTCGTTATACCACGCACTTCATTGTACTGACTTTTAGAATACCCCGTATGTTGCATATTTGAGTACTGGTCGAAGTGTTTTCCATGGCTACTTAATCATGGGGGGAATGATGCACAGGAGTTGGGGGGGTAATCAAGGGCTGGTTTTAGAGGGGCTATTAATTGGGACAAACTAAAGATCCATGATTTCCAATCCTCATTTTCCCCTAATGCAGATCACACCCCACTGATCATTTCCTCAGTCTTAGAGAGACGTTAACCCTGAGCCTCAGAGCTTTGCCCATCGTCATGTAGCTCGTGTCTGAGATTTTCTTAACTCCAAGTCTAATACTGCATTTGCTATGCCATGATGTGTTGATCATGAGGATGCAGAAAGGAATTTACAGGATACGTGGCCTCTTTGAGTGGACGCCTGCTATTGACCAAAGTGTACAGAAAAGTGGAAGCTAAGTCAGACAATGGGATGTATCAACACACACATATGGGACCTATAGCATTGGACACCTTTCCCCAAATCATTGTTATTGTTCAGTTGTTTCAATCGTGTCTGACTCTTTGTGACTCCATTTGGAGTTTTCTTGGCAAAGATATTGGAGCGATTTGCCATTTCTTTCTTTTTTTTTTTTTTGGGGTGAGGTAATTGGAGTTAAGTGACTTGCCCAGGGTCACACAGTTAGCAAGTGTCAAGTGTCTGAGGCCATATTTGAACTCAGGTCCTCCTGACTCCAGGGCCCATGCTCTATCCACTGTGCCACCTAGCTGCCCGTCGGGATGTGATTAGGGAAAGGTAAAACAAGTCTAGCTGTTTAGCCTTGGTATTGGGGGGCTATCATGGGCTGAACTGATAGCAGGCGAGCTTTGGTCATTTCTATTTCTTTCACTAGCTGAGCTGACCTTCTCCTCCTCTTGCAGCTGCTCTCCAGTCACTGCCTGGCCTGGTTCGCTCAGCAGTTAGGGCCAAGAGGAGCCATGAGAACCCCAGAAGCTTGACTTCAGTTGAGAGGAGAGATGTAAGGCAGAAGGGACACCACCTTGTGTGGGGAAAACTGAGGCCCCAGGATAGCAGTGTTTCTGGGAAGGCTACCTTATGGAAGATGAGGGAGAGAGAAGCTCACACCAATCCTGGTAGCCTCCTGTCTTAATATGCTTGCTAACTAGGTGTTATGTTGGTTTTCTTCTTCTTCTTCTTCTTCTTCTTCTTCTTTCTTCTTCTTCTTCTTCTTTCTTCTTCTTCTTCTTCTTCTTCTTCTTCTTCTTCTTCTTCTTCTTCTT